TCAGCTAAGGATGGGGTGCTATGGTCAGCTAAGGATGGGGTGCTATGGTCAGCATAGAAATTGGTTGGTTATGTCATTCCAGGGCTTGAAGCCAGCCGTGGCTTACTGATAGAGTATCAGGACTGGCCAGCAGCTGACGATTAGAATGTTTGCTCGTCTTTGCATGTCTCAGTGATGATTTTGTCAGATGTGCACAGTTGAAGTCCCCATGGCTCTCTCACCAGCATAACAGGCAGCTCCATTAAAGGAGCAGTGTAGACTGGTGACAGCTGAAGCCGGGGGAATGTGCCCAGGCCACTGCTGTCTGGGTGCTTCCACCCATTCTCCCAGTGGGTTTCGTCCTAGATGGAAGTGGGACATTGCTGCCCTCGTGGTGAGAGGATGTGGTCTGTTAGTCTGTTAGAAGTTCCTTCCCTGGAAACTTGATGGAGTTTGATTGGATTGAAATAGGGTCAGGCGTTTCACAGTCTGGCTTAGCAGAGCATGTGACCATGGAAGGTACACATTGGTGGAAAAAAAAAAAACAGTAAAACTAAGAAGGTGAGCATTGTTAGGTCATGGGGTGGGAGGGCTGTGACAGTGATGGTATTTGTGGTTACTTTCCTAGTTGCTGTGAGGAAACACCTGGTAGAACCAACCTATGGGGGAGGATCTGGCTGGCTCTCCATTTTGGTGGGGTGATGGCATGGTAGAATCCATGGTCATGGGAGCTGCTTTTGACCATGAAGGCGGGAACAGGAGTTGGCTTGCTAGTACTTCAGTGGACCAGGAAGCAGAGTTTGCCAGAACTGGAGCCAGATTGGAACCTTGAACCCCGTCCCCACAGCAGTACCGTCAGCAGGGGCAGCTCATATATCAAACATGATGGAGGGAAAGCCTAATTGCTTGAGTATGATCCCACATGGTGGAAGGGAAGGGTCAACTCCCACAAGTTGTTCTTTACCCTGTGCCATGACATGCACATACCTGCCTGCACATTTGTATTCATGCCCCCTCCGCTCCCCCACACTGTTTTCCTCCTCTCGCTGCCCGTCTGTCTCTCCCTCGATAAATAAGTGTAAAAATAAGCCATGACAGTGATTCATCCTCAATTTTAAATTTATTATGAGTGTGTGAGTGAGACATACATATATGGGAACGTGTGTCAGTGTGCATTTTGTATTTATTATGAGTGTGTGAGTGAGACATGCGTGTATGGGAACGTGTGTCAGTGTGCCTTTTGTGAAGCTGGCTTTCTCATTCCAGATTGGCTGGTCCCAGGGGTTGAACACAGGTTGCCAGAGAGTTGTCAGGTTAGGAGAATATTTTATGTATCTAGTGCTGTTGAATGAATTAGTGTTTCTCAAGGTCAGCGACCCTTGGCCTTATTCTTAGTCCTTAGGACATGTATAAAAACTGCTGTCTTAAAGGTAAGCTGGGATTAGTGAGGATACGAGTTAATCCATCCCTGTGCCTGTCTGACCAGCCCTGTCTCATGGGTATAGGAGAGAGCTGAGTGGGCATGCTCACAGGCCTGACCACCCTCCAGTGGAGCACTGGAGAGGCTGGTTCTCCCCCTCTCAGCAATCAGTAGTTGCCTAGAGTTGTCTGTCTAGGAGAGACTGTTTCCCTAGACTCCCCAATATGGTGGCTCTTAGTCTTTCCTCCCTCTCTTGGGTTGTTCTCCCTGAGCCCTGGGTACAGGAGCTAGAATGTAAATGTGTCCAGTTGGGGTTTTCTGTGGTTGTCTCCATTTGCCTCGGAGAAGCACCTACCCAGGAAAGGTGGCTCTTGCACTAAACCACCTTGAATTTTCACTAGTGCTATGATTTCCCTGGTGCCTGTCTTCCAGGTGCTCCTTGTGTGGGTATGTGTGCAGCCACCCCCCTTCCTTGAAGTCACACATGTGGAAACATGCAAGTGACCAGAACTACAACTACGAGCAAGTTAACAAGGCCATCAATGATGCAATCTCACAAAGCGGCAGGTATGTCATCCCACCCTTCACTTGATGGCCAGGTACAGAGCAAGGGAGGGGGCATGTCCTAGCCCTACAGCAAACCCCTGAAAGTCTGATGTGTTCTGTTTTTATAAGAGTTCTGGGGAAATCCCATGGGAAACCGCTCTTAACCAGCAGTGAAGAGAAAACTGGCCCTACCACAGACAGTCCAGAAAACTTGGTATCGTCCTCAGAGCTCACTTCCCAGCTGCCTGGTGAAGTTGTCGATGCCAGCGAGCTTGAGAAACTGACCCCCACAGGCAGCAGCTCTGACGTCTCGGGAAGGAGCTGCAGCCTGGCTGCCCCGGGTACCGAGTACTGCGTGCTGCTTTTCTGCTGCTGCATTTGTGGCTTTGAGTCGACTAGCAAGGAGAGCCTCCTGGATCACATGAAGGAGCACGAGGGGGAGATTGTCAGCATCATCCTCAACAAGGAGCCCAGCCCAGCCCTGAATGCCAGCTAGCTAGGAGCACGTGGGAGGGGCTCTCCGAGCTGCAGGCCAACCTCAGTGCCATCACCAGCTCACCAGGCATGGAAGGACACAGAGCTGTGACCCTGTGTGAGCCTCTGGCGCCCCTGCTTAGTGTCACCGTTTATTATTGAGAGCTTACCATAGTCCAGAGTCTGCAAGCAGATGAGTTGAAAAGGCTCTGCCAAGCCACACCGGTCGGCTCTACAGTGGCCGGGGCTCTGATGAGGAAAGTGGCAAATGGGAAAGGGCAGTTCCCACTGTCGCCAGGATGGGCAGTAGGGAGAGGGAGGGTGACTTCCACTGTCTCCAGAGAGCAGTGGGGCTGAGGAATGGGCTTCATAAATCTTTTCCTTGTGTTGATAGGAATTTGTCACAGACTCGATATAAGGTATGGTCCTTTACTCCCTAAAAAAGGAGAGAGATACCCAAATCACTCCTGGATTGTAAACATTTGGGAAGTAAATTATTGTTTCAAATTCACAGTGACTCCATACAAGACTCAAACCAAATCTCAGGTTCACAGAAATGGGTGACTTCCCAGAGGTCAGCGTGAACAAACTGAGCTCACTCCTCCAGTCACACAGGTATACACACCTTCACCACCACCGCCAGCAGTTGTCTGACAGCCTCCTCAAGAGGAGGACGGGGACTGCTACTGCATCACCTGTCCTTGAGCTAGGTGCTCACCTGCTTACCCAAGCACATGTAGCTTGAGAGCCAAAGTAAGAAGCTTTGGGGAGGCTGGGTGTGGTAGCACAGGCTAAAATCTACAGGTGTTCTGAGCAGGGGATTGCAGGTTTGAGGCTAACCTGGGTTAGCAGAACTGGGCCTCATGAGGTTAAAAAGATCACTTGGAGAATGAAGCTGAGAGTCAGGTGCCTAAAAAGCAGCAGGGCTGTTACGGTTTCCTCTCCTGGGAGTTATGAGGTTGGTTACAGCTTACAGTACAACCCAGGTGACTGAAGGGTGGTGAAACTTAAGTCTGTCTTAATAAGAGACGCGTGGGCTTCATATAGTCAGGAGGCAGACAGGTAGATTTCAGAGTTTGAGGCCAGCCTCGTCTACATAGCAAGTTCCAGGCTAGCTAAGGCTTCAAAATGAGATCCTGTCTCAATAAATCAAAATAATTTTTAAAAGGACTAGAGGGATGGCTCAGCAGTTAAGAGCACTGGCTGCTCTTCCTTGGGATCCAGGTTTGACTCCCAGTAACCATATGTGACTTACAACCAGCTCTGGGCAATCTGGTATACTCTGGCCTCATCAGGCACCAAGCACACATGTGGTACACAGACATAATTCACGCAAAACATTAACAAAAAGTTAATTTTCTAAATGGAATTTTGGTGAGAACTTTGAAAACCTGGAGATATGCATAGCAGTTGAGTACGGATGTACATCTAGCCACAAGAAAACAAACTGCAGCAATTTCTTGTCAGAAACACCACTGGGCAAGTAGCTAGTGTATTTCTAAAAGAATCCATTTGTTAGTGTGCAAGAAAATATACTGAGAAACTAGCTCAGTATATTTGTGCTAAAGTTGGCACCACACAGACGTGACCTCATTAGTCCCATGGTTTGTGCCATCATTACTTGTGAGGCTGCAGCAAACAGGGTGCTGTTCGTGTAGTTCTGATCACTTACTGTTCCGTTAAAGCTGACTTTTCAGTGCTGTTAATGTAGGTGTTCTCTACACACCCAGAGTCAGGGGCAGCTCATGGAAGGACAGTTGGTGGGTGTTCACAAGCTTTACAGCCTGTGTTCCGAGGTGAGGTGTTCAGAAAATGAGTTACTAACTCTGACGTTGTGTTGGAAACTGTAGCATGGGGCCAGGCATGTGGAAACACTTTCTGATTTCTTTTATGTTTTTCTACCATTAATTTTGATGACACTATTTAGAGAAAATGGACTAAAATTTTTCCACTCTCTGATTTTAGGTAGCTTTTGTGGGGAGTCTGGGAGAAGAGTCTTTCTGTATAGTCCTGGCTGTCCTAGAACTCATTATGAAGACTAGGCTGGCCTCAAACTCAGAAATCCATTTGCCTCAGCCTCCCAAGTGCTGGGATTAAAGGCAATAGACATCACACCTAGCCCCGGGAGGCTTAATTTATTTGTGAAAGTTAATTCATTTCTGATGTGGGTTTTAATAAGAAAGTGAATTTATAGATACTAATTCATTTCCCCTGAATTTACTCTATATGGACTTAGATGAATTTTCTCATATTTTCACAATTAAAACATTTACATTTAATGCCAAATGCAAAAAATTTCATGCTTTCATTTTTATCACCCATTCCTGTTGTCCCCACTAGATCTGGTTTTCATTTTGCTGTTAGTCTGAAGAGTCATAGCCTTCAATGAACTTTCTGTGGCTTTAATTTTCCACAATTGGTTAAAAATAGTACTCACCCAAAACATCCTACCATTTCAGCAGGATGGCTCTTCAAAAGACGCTTCTGAGTTCCTTCAAACCACATGATTGCAATCATGAGTGTAAACTTTCCCCCACCCTACAGGGAAAAACTAATAACCCAAAGGTTCAAAGCCTTCACTCTGTCATCTGTTCCTATGAGTGCTCCGGCCTGGACAAGGGACAGAGTTTCTGTACCCTGCACATTCTGCTGGCATCTTACAGCAAGTCTTACCAAGAAGCAATATTCAGAATAACAGAAGCATGTATGTATGGTTGTCATCCCTGGGGAGATTCTTACCCAGTTAGAGTCACTGGTCAGAGGAGCGTACTGACCACTGCTCTAAGCTTTGGCATGGGAAACCCTGATTTTTGTCTCCTGCTCTGACCACCTACGCTTCAAAGAGCAAATGGGGAATACTGCTTTAAAACATTTACTGCATTCAGTAAACATAAGATGGAGAGGTGGCAGTTGTGATCTTGATAAATATCATTTTGTCCCTTGCTGTGATCATAGGACTCTGGCAGGTGCCCTCTCTGGCCTGTCAGCCATGTGCTCATTCACTTTATCTGTGGCTCGACCATATGCAGCGACACCAGCTGAAGCTTCGGCCCTGGACCTCTCCGTCCTGTTTGAGGTTTCCATTGGTGGCTTTGTAATTACAGAACAAGCGTGAGCATCATGTTTACATCACATCTCTGCAGCATAGTTGGCTGGACAGAGATGAGCAAGCTTCTCTGTTTCCGTTTCATAAGCCCTTATCTAATCCATTTCTTAATTGTGCAGCAAGGTGCTCAAGGTAATAGTCTATGAATATATTTAATAGAAACTTGAGTTTGACATTCATGGGCATAAAGACATGTATTTTTTTTTTTTAAAGAAATAAGTATTGTGTGTGTGACACTATGGCTTTGCTTCTGTAGCCCAAGTAAAGAAACTTCTAGGACACCATGTATAAAAGCAGCAGTTGATTCTGACAGTTCATTAAAACTGGATAATTGGCATTTGGTTACGTTCCTTTGCACATCAAACTGCAAGCCTTGTTTGTGGTAGAACAGGCCGCCTGTTAGAAGAGTGCAAGAAGCTCTCTGCACCTCTTAATTTTCAGAAGAACTGTCCAAAATTAGAGTAATTTATTTTGCTTTACAGGAGTTTGTCATGTATTGACTTAAATATTGTATTTTGGTAATAAATTTTTTTGTTTAAAAACACTTGTTTCTAAGTTTTGTTAGCAGTGCGTGTTCATTCCTATCTTGGGTTTATTAATTTAGAAACTTGCATTTAAATCATTGAAACCTCCCCAAGAGGGCAGTGGTGGCGCACGCCTTTAATCCCTGCACTTGGGAGGCAGAGACGGGCAGATTTCTGAGTTCGAGGCCAACCTGGTCTACAGAGTGAGTTCCAGGACAGCCAGGGCTACACAGAGAAACCCTGTCTCGAAAAAAACAAAGCAAAAAAAACAAAGCTTCCCAAGAGTTGGTTGAGGTTTATTGTTGGGCTCTGTTAACTTGCTGAGCTACCACTGGATGGTCACTACTATGTTTCACAAGAATTATTATAGGTTTCGGGCCTTCTTCCCTGTTACACAGTTCTTTTGCATCCACATCAGACATGGAAATGCTTTTAGTGCTGACCTGTGGGTGGCAGCTCCCTTCCTGTAATTAGAACTCTGCTGAAGGCCAGTAACTACAAAGTTGCTTATCCTTTGATCCTCTCATGGTCCATCACCAAACAATCTCTTACTTGCAGAGGCCATGGGTGCTCTAACTGGTTTGGCTATACCAGTTTGTGCCCTAGGATCCCAGGCCCTCCCAGCTAGAAGTGACTCAAAACAAAAAATTCTCCTTGATAGCTATAGCCTCTTGGACTGTTCTTTGTAGGGTGATATGTTCCCATCTCTTCTCTCAAGGACCAGATCTCAACACTGTGCCATAACAAGTTAGTTGTGTAAATCACAGCATGGAAGAACCTAGATCCAGATCATGGGGTCCCACGTGACAGCCATAGCCACATGAATTCTGAGCACTTGAGATGGGACTTGTGTTCTAAGTGTAAGACAGAACCATTGCAAAGATTTAGTACAAAAAGAAATGTAAAGCATCTCAATAGGTTCAGATATTGACAATGTGTTAAAATATTTTGGCTATATTGAGTTAAATAAAACATGTTAAAGTCATTTCACCTTGTGTTAGCTTTTCATTGCTATAGCAGAATGCCTTAAAAAAAAAAAAAAAACTTAGGTTGACTTGGCTCACGGTTTCAGAAGCTTCTAGCCAAGCTCATCTGCAGTGAGGCAGGATCTCATGGTAGGAACATGTAAACCAGATAACAGCTCATGGTGGCTAGGAAGCAGTGAGAAGGGACAGACAGGTGACAAGATAGAGACTTACCCAGGGCATAGGCAGGAGCTGCTCCCTCCAACCAGGCCCCACCTCCTGGTACAAGTGGGATCAAATGATTAATCCCATGCCTAGCTTGCTGGGTGATGCTAAACTCAGTCCCCAAAAAATCCACAGCCAAACCTAACACGGGTGCCTTTGTGGCCACTTAATATCCAAACCATAACACACACTAATGTGGTTATTAGAAACTTCTAAAGTACATACGTGGCTTACATTATGTTTCCCTTAAGCAGGACTTGTATAGAGGAGAGACTGGCCCTCCATTTGAAACCTAGCTTGCCACTTACTTTCAGAAATAGTCCCATTGAATCTCAGCCACGTCACCATTTCTCTTTTTTGAACTTTTTTTTTTTTTTTACCAGCTATTACCTGAAAATACAACCGTATTTCTGTGTTTGAGTGACAGACTATATGACCCACAGAGGCCACATGTTTACTTTTTCATACAGCTGCTGATCTCTGGGCTCTGAAACAATGCTGAAATCTGGGATCTTACAGCTACCAGAGAGCGAAACGTGTTACAAAGCAAGCTGTTTCCTTGGGGTGTTCAGAGCCAGGCTGCATTTCTTCCTCTGCGGCTGTCTTGTGTGAGTGAGACACACATGCATGCCACAGTGTGTCTGCACAGTCCAGAAGAAAACTTTGGATTGGGTTTTCTCCTTCCATCTTTACATGCTTTCCTGGGATCAACTCGGGTTGCTGTAACACGTGCCTTCACCCACTAAGCTATCTCACGGCCCCCTCTGTTGTTCTTATCATCTGCTATTCCCAAATCCACCTGTACAACCTCACCCCAAGTCTGTTGACTTAGCGATAGGTATGTAACGTCAAACAATTTGTTTAAAACAATCTGCTAGGTAAATACTAAACTGCTGCTCTGAAGTTACCCCTGTCTCCATGTTGCCCTCCCTCCAGGCTCATCCAAGCGCTGTGTCCCCTTCAGTAGTGACTTGGTCACAGAGCCTGCCTTTGTCAGCACGGTGCAAGGTGAGTACAGTAAAGCCACGGGCATGCTGACCACTGGCTGGAGTCTGAGACATCACAGCAAACAGCATGCAGTGAGGCAAGCTCACTGGTGAGGACATTGGCTGCGGGTTTGCTGCAAAAGGGCTGAGGATGTCATGGAGATTTCTTTCAGATCGGCCAGGAAAAAATGTAAAATGTGAACATTCCTGGCTCAATAAAGCCTCAGATAAGTCTGGTGTCTGAAGGTTTTTTCATAATTGTTGGGTTTACAAGGATTTCTTTTTTATGAATCTGTCTGTGACACATGGGTACACTGCCCACACAGGCCAGAAGAAGGCATTAGATTTCCCAGACCTGGAGTTTATAGGTGGTTGTGAACAGCACAGGTGGGTGCCCTAGAAAAGCAGAGAACATCATCACTGAGCCATCTCTCCAGCCCTCTCCGGCAACCCAACAGCTTGCTTAGTAAAGAGGAGTGTGTATCGTAAGCATGAACAGCAGACTCTAATTTGTGTGCTCTGTTAGGGGCTATAGGCCCATTTTCCTGACAGTACCTTAATACATTTAGTATCTAGGCTTATCTCTTGATCCGGAAAGTAAGATTACGCCAGCTTAATGTGTTTTTTTTTTTCAATAACAAGTAATCACTTTGAATTATTTACCTTATAAAAGATTAATCACACGTGTGTGTGTCTATATATATGTATATATCTGCATACATACATTTATAACATGTTATATACAACATATACATGCTATATATACACACATACATTATATTACTTTTTAATTCAAGTTTAAAAGTCTGATTTTAGACATCCATGATAAAATGATAAAATGGAATGCCAGCCATTTAATAAACTCATCAGATGTGGTCTTTTTGTGTACCGCTTAACCATATTTATACCAGTTGGGTTACTGAATCCAGATAGCACATATGCCATTCTGTACCAGTTTGAAAAATTGAGTATATGACAGATACCTCTCCAGTAACATCCAGGGGCGCAGACCCCTCATATTGAGTACATAGTATATTTACACAGATCAGAAAGTGAGGAATCCCTGTTGTGAGCTGAGGCTCAACTATTCCAAAGAAAAACAGTGTATCTGAGCCAGCGGCCCACTGACAGAACAGAGCTAAGCATCTTTATTTCAGTTCTGATATGTGCATTTTTTTTCTCAGCTCTCCCCTTCATTAAAATGAAGTATTTATAAATATCGGTGCCATCGCCATTGGCATCAGTAACAATCAAACACTTAAATTAGTACTACAGATGGGGCGTAGCTCAGTGGTAGACAATGTGTGTAGCATGCATAAGGCCCTAGGTTTCATCCACAGAATAAAAATAAATAAGGGAAATTAATAAAAATGTTACCTTAGGGCTGTTGAGACAGGAGAGCACCTGTCTAGTATATGGAAAACCCTGGGTTCAAAGCCAAGCCACCAAAAAAAAAAAAAAAAAAAAACTACATAAAATTCTTACCTATTAAGTGTGCACACAGTGACCTGGAAAAGCCTTTGTCAAAGTAAAACATACTAGGCATGGCAATGCTATCCTATAGCTGTTATTCTAATACATGTGAGGTGAAGCAAGAGGACCCGGAGTTCACACCCAGCCTCCACGACATTGTGGGTGGAGGCTAGCCTGGGCTACAGTGAAAACGTGTCTCTAAATAAATAAAAATAAAAACACATGTTACTCATTTTACAGGTCTTTTATTAACACCTTCTGGTATCATTTAAAGACCCATCACTGCGGTACACGTCTTCGGATTTGTGGCTTTTCCTACTTGTCGTTTTATTAATTTTAGTATCCATATTCAGAAATAACGTGGCTGTGGTTCACTGAAATAGACACATCAATCCACAGCTTGCTCTTTTTCATAGCGGCTGCAGTCCTATTTAAATTCAGCGTATCCAGTCACAAAAGGTGTTAGAAAGTTTTATTTCAGGCTCGTGAGAGAAAGTATAGCAGGATGTGATTGAAATCTTAAGCCGGGTTTATTTCTGCTCCCCTGCAGCCTAACAGTCTACAAAAAGTTACGCAAAGCAAGCCACTGGAGACAGGAGTAGGAGCACACACCTGTGGTTCACCCTACTTGGGAAGCCAAGGCAGAGGGATCAAGACTTCAAAGCTAGTCTGAACTACATAGCAAGACCTTGTCTCAAAATCCCAGGCAGCTGGAGAGGTGGCTCAGTGGTTAAGAGCCTGTGCTGCTCTTCCAGAGGAAGCGCCCAGCATCTTCCTGTTACTCTACCTCCAGGGGATCCGATGACTACTCTACAGGCACCTGCACACACAGGCAAACAGACACCTAGATATAAAATTAATCCTTTGTTTTAATCCAAAAGTATGCCTGATACGACAGCACGTGCCTTTAATTCCAGCACTCAGGAAGCAGAAGTGGACAGATCTCAGTGAGTTTGAGGCCAGCCTGGTCTACACAGGGTTCCAGCCAGCTAAGACTACATAGTGAGACCCTGTCCTTAAAGCTTTAAACAAGTGTGGGAAATCACTGGTTGGAAAAGCCCCGTCACTTCTCAGCCATGTAAGAACATCCTTCCTTGCAGTTGCCACTCAAGCCCTTGTGCTGTGCACTGTACACTTGAAAACACCAACATCTTTGCCAATGTGGGGCAACCCTGTGTTCACTCTGCAAATGCTAAACAGGAAATTCCAGTGTTTTGCCTGAGAATCTTTATTCTATGTACATTTGTATGTGTGCGCTCACATATTCGTGCATGCATACAGGTGCCCATCAGATCCCCTGGAGCTGGAGTGACAGGCAGGGGTGAGCCACCTAACATGGATTGTGGGAATCAGTTCTCGGAAGATGGTACA